TCATTCATTCGATGAAAATTTTCCGAATTACCCAAGTATATTGTCTACCATACTTTCCCTCTCTCTCAGGCCACTTTAACCTATGTGTTCGTCGGGGTACGCCTGCTCGTATACAGAATAATTCCTACCGAAGTGGTGCTATAATACTCTGGTATATCGATGTTAAGTATTAGTTCTGAGCTTGAATATGCAAAGGACGAAAATTCCACAGAGCACACTTGCTTGTCAAATGGGAAGTCTCTGATCTATAAACAAAGGTTAGAAATCACAGTTTTCAATGCTAGCGTTCTACATTTCAAAGAGTTTTATGCACTTACATTCATTGGACATAGAAACGAAACAGATTTGTAGACATACATACCGATGTCGCCGTTACTTTCCACCTAAAAAAATATTTCAAAGAAATGTAGTAAAAAATTCTTAGTTACCCAAAGTTGCTGCGCAACAGAAACTATTTCAGACATTGCATGGCTGAAAGCAGTAGAAGTAAGAATGGTCATCAAATATTTGAAAAAATAGCAGAAACCTGTTGCATATTGCAACATCTGGTGTCCATATGAGATTTCGATCGGTGTAAAACCCATCGATCCCATCAAAATTGGTTGAATTCCACGTAAGTCTTACATCTTTCCACTCCTGAAGAACTTCACAATTTCTGTCTACCGACTAAACAGATTTTTACTAAATAACTTTCCATATAGTACTCAATAATCATATCGACTGCTTCGATGGGCTCATTCTAGAATTGGTGTCTATTATCTGTTATATATCTTCCTTTGCAGAGGAAACTTACGACCAATAGCAGCCTTGCTTTCGCCAATGTAATGTTCACGATCAAAGGCTTCTCGGCAATCCCATCTAAAATATGTCTTATCATGTAGTGTGAGTTACAGGCTCATTATCGAAAGAACACAACTCCATTAACAAGCTCTACAAGTTGGCATTCAGACAACTAAAAAGTTAGGTCTACATGAAGTTGGAAGCAAATAAAAATTCTTCATTTCTCAAAATTAGAGTTTTTTTTT